CCTTTGATCGTCGGGACGACGATCTGAAGAGGAGGGGGGCAGTGTTACGCGGGGGTCACCGCGTATGTGTCGCGGGAGCCGCGTGAACGGCGCGACTGTCGGTTACCGGGCGACGACGGTTTGTTAAAAAAGAAGAGAAGAGGATAGAAGAATCGCGACCGCGGATCTGTCACGACGTGTTTCGGCGATTTGTACAACGAGCTGTTCTTTCTTTGGATTTTATTGTAATAAAGTGTGTTTGTTGAAAAGCCGCGTACCCTCTCATTTCCGCGAACGGTTACGTGAATCGCGCGGCTCGGTTACGGAGCCGGATTGAGCGCCGCGAACGTAACAATACAAACATATGGTTGCAGATATCAAGATTTTGATCCTTCAGTCTTACTTAAAATACTTATTAGATCCTGTCCGTATGGCTATAATGGCTGTCTCATGCTTATTCTGTCCGTACATCGTGATAAGTGCACCGTTCCTGTCATACAAATGTGAAAATCTTTCCACTTATTAAACTTATTAATTTTACGTCTTTATCCGTTCTTTTTTTATAGTAAAACCCGCACTTTGTTTAAAACTAATAATTTGTATGTAGACTTCTATGTGTATATATATATATATATATATAGACAATATATTATATTTATTATTTATTTATTTACATCAGCCTTCCCGGCCAAGAAGGGGAGGCTTTACAAGCTTTCTAATTTCACCCATCCATCCATACCTTAACGTCTCCCATTCTCCAAACCTACACATATCGTTTTCTTACCCTAACTTTTACTTTGTACATTATCTTAATTAACTTACGTTCTAAATTGCACATAACATTGCCCTTCTAATGTCCACGCATATCTTACAACTTGACACTTAAACCTATTCTCTATCTCCTATAATCTCTATCTCTTCCCCCAATCGTGATTAACCTCTAACTTTCTTCTTCTTCTTGTTGACTAGAAAGAGTTTGTACTAATTTGCTTCTTTCCTTCTTCCTTTTTTCTTTTTCTTTCCAGACTCTTACTAAGATTTCTCCTTTCTCTTTCTCTAGTTTATCATTAAATATTCTCTCCGACTTTTCCTTCGTATTCTTACCTAGATTATTAAACTATCCTTTAGCAGTCTCACATTCTCCTACGTAATGATTGAATTCATCCCGTCCATTTTCACAGAATACACAACCTTTTTGTCCTTCTTCCAGCCAATATTTGTTGTTCTCCTCCATGGGACTTGGTTAGGTGGCGTGCGTGAGCACATACATGGTTGTGAGAACGTGCGATATAATAGCGATTTTGTTAGACAAAGAGAATAGGGAAGAGAAAACAGAAAAGAAAGGAAGGCGGGAGACAAGAGGTTATGGCAGCAAAAGGTGCGGAGGCAGGAAAGGTAGGAAAATTGACAAAACTTAGGAAAGAGAAAGAAGAGAAGCAAAGACAATTAGAGTTTCCGATAGAAGAAAAGGAGACGAGTAAGACGGAAAAGAAAAAGGTTGTTCTCCTCCATATTTCCACACCTTACTCCTACTAGTGCTCTTATCTGGTCACCTTCTATTGTCATCACCAGCTTCTTTTTCTGTAAGTATTCCGGCTTCCTTAAGTTCTTATTTAATTCTTTGTATCTTTTATTGTACTTCGCCTCTCTTATCTTACTATCTATAATTTGTCTTTGTATGTCCCTCTCTCTTTCCATCAGCATATCCTCTATCTCTACATTCGTATTCTCCATTTCCTCCCACGCTAGACAATATATTATATAATTATCTTTTTATAAAAAAAAAAAAAAAAAAGAAATTCTGTTTTGGAATGTGGCTGGTATAAGGGGACAAGATGTTGATTTTTGGAATTTTGTAAAGACATTGTTACGCCTATTGTAAAAATGTGATTTACAATTCGCGTAGGTGCAAAGTGAGAGCCGACAAATTGCAAAATAGTTGGGAAGGTCCATTCAAACTTGTCAAAAAGCTGAGCGACATGTATTGCATTCGACGTTCAAAAGAAGACCACCGCAAATTCTTTCGTAACGCGTTACATTAAATGCGAGCTAAAATACGAAAGGAAAAGACACTTAGATCTAATGGAAGAATGAAAAAAAAGGAGAAGACTTGGAAAATTAGAATAAATCCCATAGAACAAGAAAATAAGAATTTCGACTTTGACACATCGTGCTCCCAATAAAGGCACTTCCTTTGAGCCCTTTACAGGTGACTTCCTTTTATTCGAGCGATCCTCCTTTGCAACGCAAACCTTACACGAGTTGCATCAATTTTCTATATCTTTCTTACATGTAACCCAGAAGAAACGCTTACGAATCTCGTCTAGAGTCTTATTCACGCTAAAATGATTTCCTGAAGGCGCATCATGTGCCCCCTTCAAAATTGAAGTTATCCTCTGCCGAGAGGAACAATGATCTGCAGAAAACTCGATTTCAAATTAGGTCAATTCCTAAACAAAACACCATTATAACGTAAGTACTCTCTTTAAAAGGTTACAAATGAATGTTTTGGGCCCGCTGCCGACGTTCTCTTTGGAAAATAAATATCTCCTGGTAGGCACAAAACAATTTCGAATAACTTCGAAATTAATTAACCATCACGTTATTGCAAGACAAAAAGTTAAACATTTTCTACCGCGTTTGTGTAATAATTAAAATCACCAAGAAATACACAGGAAAAGAGCACACGTTCAACCCGTTAGAGGCGCGGCCCACGCGCACTGAACGAGATGTGCAGACTTGTTCGTTGCATGATCAGGTGAGTATATATAAAGTTAAGAACCTAATCGTGGAGGAGAAAAAAGGAAAAAGGAGAAGAAAGAAGAACAAGTGTAAAATTAGTGTATTAACCAATAATAAATAGTGTGTTTAACACACTATAACTAATAACCAGTTGGTTAAAATATTGTTGTGAAAAAACTTGCAATAAATAAAGAGTAAAAGTAAAAGAGGCACATCAACTTTACTCTTTATTCATTGCGCTCCACGTACATCTATTTATTCAGATCCGCGATCGCGATAGCGCGCACAGCACACGTGGGCGGACTGCGAGTATCTCGCTCTCGAAAAGATCTATTTATCCGTATGGAAAACTAGAGAACCGCGAGCGAGATCATTTGACGTAAATAATGCAAAAAAAAAAAAAAAAAAAAACTATATAAAATTACATAACATATAAATCTTGCTCAACATATATGTTTTCGCATTTCCGAAATCGAATATATATACTTTTTCGATTTTTAAAAATCGAGGAAGTCAACGAATGTCACGACAATATGATGCATTTCTCGCTTTGAAAGGTCTTTGCAAGAGGCAAAGTTTTAAAATATTGGAACTTATTTTTCTCAACTTTAGTCTTTGCAACGAATGTACAAATATCTAGAATTGAGATCTGTATGATTTTACGCGACATCCTCTACTCAGTTTTAGAAAAACATTATTTATCTAATTAAAAAGTTTTACTTCCAATCTTCGTCAAAAAAACTTGATACCGTATATATCAACTATAAAACAATTAATGTTACAAATGATTGTGTTAATAAAGTTACTTTTGATATAAAAGAAAATATTTTAATGGTATTATTAGCGATCAAGCGTATGAACTATTTCTCTTTTTCGAGACGAAGTAATTTATTCCGGGTCAGTGCGCAATGACATCTGAGACTTTTTTTCTCTTGTTTAACAATGCAGTCGAGATGATTCTGCAAATATCGCAGAATTGTTTGTACAATCGATACTTCTCGAGTTTCGAGATTATCGATGCGGACAGCGCTGATACGATTTGAAATTTACAATTCGCGCCGTCCGCCTACGTTATTCACACATGAACAGTTTCTATGCATAACATTTTCCCCTGAGGTTCAAGGCTTATTGCAAGCAGAGGAAGCAAAAAGGTTCACTTTGTGGTATCGCGTTAAAAGAATATCGAAATATAATTCAAAAGAAACGTCTACATGCAACACCTACCTTCGCAGCCGTTTGCCGATAGTCCATAGTGGCCCGTATCGCAGTGATCGCACCGGAAACCGACGACACCCGGAGCGCACCTGCACGAACCGCTTACGGGATCGCAGTTCTTGTCGATGGCACCCACGTCGCAGTCGCATTCTCGACAACCCACGATCACATTCCCGTAGCCCTCGATGCAGGAAGAGCAGTCACGACCGGTGAACAAAGGTGCGCAGGGACACTGACCTGTTGTCTGGTCGCATTGAAGCGAAGTGGAGCCAAGAGAAAAGCAATTGCAAGCTGGAACAAAGAAAAACACAAACTAGAAAAATAAAGATGTACAAATATTCCAAAACGCTTCGAAAGTTGAATAATAAGAATCGTCACAAATAGAATAATATAATCTATATAATAAAAAAAAAAAATTTTTCAAATATATTTATCATATTAGTTCTCGCCGCTTTTAATGAAAGTCAGAAATATATTGATAGTGGAATAACTAAATTCATTAATAATAGAAGAAGCAAAAGTTATATTGTGTTTGTTAAAATTCTGACATCTAAATTTTGTTTTTATTTCATTTTCTTATAATTCCAATAACCAAGACAAGGAAATATTTTGACAACATTAAATTAAGAATCTCAGATTGTCTTAATATTATTTTTGATATAGCAATATTGTAAGTTATATGCATGTAAAGCAGTTATACTAACGCGTGCAATTCTGTTCCAAAGGATTTCCGAAATGCGCCTCTTTACATCTTTCACATTTCCAGCCTTCGGTGTTGCCGCGGCATTCCAAGCAGCGACCCGTTTCTTGATCACAGGCACCGCCATTGCAAGGACATCGCTGACAAGTGCCGCCGGGTGTCAACGGATTGCCGTAGAATCCTACATCACAACTTTTGACGAAGATTGAAATTAAAACTTTTTAATTAGATAAATAACGTTTTTCTAAAACTGAGATGTCGCGTAAAATCATACAGATCTCAATTCTAGATATTTGTTCATTCGTTGCAACTAAAGTTGAGGAAAAAAAGTTCCGATATTTTAAAACTTTGTGTACTTAAAAAATAAAAAATAAAAAATGATATATAAATATATAATAATGTAAAATAAAACAAACTCACCTTTCGCAATGATCCCCAGTGTATCCTTCGGGACATTGTGTGCAAATGTAACTACTGTTAATATCAGTAGGATCATCCAGTTGACAGCTAGGACTAAAATTGTTGGATTCGATGGTAAGAGGGCAAGCGCATCTTTTACAGTCTTCACTGGTGCCTCTTGTTGCGATACCGTAATATCCCGTGGTGCAACGATCGCATTTCGGGCCCACCGTGTGATGTTCACATGTCTGAAAATTACACGCATACAAGTTACGCACATAAATTAAAAGGATTTTTAAAAATCAATTTTACTATATGATTGAGTTGACGATAACTATATCGATAAAGTAGTTCGCGCAATATAATAGCGAGATCGGGATTTATAAATCACTAGACTGTTGTATCGGCTGAAGATTAAATAGTATGTTTTATATATTGAAGCAAAATTTTATACATAAGAAACTTACCCCACATTCATCCAATGCAAGATCGCAAGAACCAGCGTGGCCGTTGCAATCGCATTTCACGCACATGTGACGATTTCGATGATCGGAACCGTTTACGATCACTTTCGTATATCCCCAACTACATTTCTCGCAGGACATTCCTGCATACCCTTCAGGACACTCGCACATCTCGACTAGATTCTCGGTTTCACCATCTGATGATAATTCGCCTATCACTAATGTGGGAGATAAGAGACTAAAAACAAAAAAAAACAAAAATACAATTATTATTAGAAATTTTTATTCAAAATACAACAATTAATTTCAGTTTATACTATCTAAATGCAATGAAAATTAGTGAATTATGTACCTTCCTTCAATTTGTTCCGAATGATACTGCGCTCTTATCATCAGATGTTTGAGATCGGCGAGAATACGCATCATCTGAATCCTCGTAACAGAAGCGCCGCGAAACTCGGCTTTCCTCAATCTTTCCGGGATGTTTAAACCTTCGTCCGGTAAATGATACCAACCGTGTTCTCGTAAAGAAACCACGATTTCAGCTTCCTCACCATTGTACTGCTCCTCGCCGTACGCTATGCGCATTCCATTGTTGCCCTTTGCAAGAAGATTATACATAATATTGCGTGTATATTTTTTTTTCTCAGCTACACTAATATGTATACAATAAGATATTTACAACTAGGATCACGTTGGCCTCCGTGGTCGGTTTACCACTACTGTCGCCTCGCATGACGGCCCATCTAACGGAGTATGTGAGATTACTACCGTACGAGGATAGGCGGTTTCCCGTATAGATCTGCGGTGCCAGCCAGAAAGGACTGTCGTATTCGACGTCGACCGCCGCCACGGTTAACCATCCGTTGTCCGCGTCCAATGTGGGAACAATTTCACGAGACGCATTCATGTCGGTCACCAACCAGTTCTCTGTCGTAAAGATCTGAAATAAGTGAAGAACCACACGATTTGACTCCCATTGTCCCACACAACATAAGATTTTGCACACTTGTATATAGTCACAAACTTCCAATTTTTTTTTTTAATTTTAATTAAAACTGCAATTTACATTGTGAGCAACTTTAAATAAAAAAATTATTATCATGTTTAAACTTGCTAGCATAGTTCGCGTGTTCGCTCCTCATACTGAATGCTATTACCGTCAGCGTAATTGCGGCGTCTGCAATTTATCGGCGGTACCGATAAACTATAATTGTCCTTTTATCCAATTTATCGCGCGACGAGAACGTCGCCTAAGATAAACGCTCCAACATGCCCGCGGGAAAACGTCAACGTTCTAATCGTTGCGCGGATTTTACACCTGCTTGCCGGTTCCCGACATTTGACAAACGAGAGTTTTCCTTTTCATAAATAAAAGATAAATCTCTCTTTTAATATGTATGTGAAATTATAGAGAATTATACGACTCTGTTATTAAACGAAATATCTCAATAAGTGACTTGTCATAATGATCATGAAATAATCTCAATTTATTCTCACGATTATCATTTAATGTGCTCACTGTAATTTATCTTTGTTTTTAAATAACAAAATATAAAGCAAATGTAAATGTGACACAACACATCTTCTTTTCACTTTCTTATTGTAAAAAAACAAAAGGCACTTACTGTGCTATACGATAATCTCGCAGTGGTGCAGCGATCTGTTGCGTCGAAACAATAGCAGGGCAAGCATCCGTCTAGATTGTCTCTCGTGAGAGCAAAATATTCCGGTTTACATCGATCGCACAAATCTCCCTCGACGTTCGTCTTGCACAAGCAGTTGCCTTCGCAATCGTGATTTGGCAAAGTCCCGCGGAAATCGCAGGGGCACGGTATACAATCGGGAAACTGACGATAACCGGCAGCACACCGGTCACACTTATATCCCGAATATCCGAGTTTACACTCGCAAGCACCTGCTACCTAAAATAATTATCAAACATATTCGTATTACAAACAAATTTTAACAGAAGAATCATTAGAACAATTTGCAAGTGATATATCAGTTATTGTAGATTTAATTAGCGAAAGATAGTCAACGATAAATGAACAATAAATGTGTTTCAAAAAATTGGCATTTGAAAAGATAGTTTATTTTTATGCAAAAAACTCTTACTTTTCCTTTGCGCGTGTAGGAATCATCGGGAGTGCAGTAGCCTGTGCTACCATGCATGTTGCAGTCACAGGGAAGACATGGTTCAGGAGCATTAGGCGCAACGCCATTCGGTCTGTAGTAACCGGCCTTGCATTTTTCGCAATTAATACCGGTTGTGTGTTCCTACACAAATGTTTTCAATAAATTGTTATCAGTCAGATATTAATTTGAAATATATTCTTAAAATTCTTGAGAATTTTATTTTCTCTTTTTTCTCTCTCTCTCTTTTTTTTGAACAAATATATCGACAAGTTTAAATTTGTTTCTAAGTCCATTCCAATTTCGATCATATAATTACAAATAAAATATACAGTTTAAAAATCAACAATAAAATCCTCACAAATAAAACAAACAGCATAACAACTGCAAATATATTATTCCGAATGCTTCATACACACAATTATTTTGCACAAATGCAAAATCTTTTCATATTTCACAAACAGATGCGATTTTATTATATCCAAACATATACACAGTTTATAAACAGTTTAAACTTTCTTATTATTTTTCATTAACTCACCGTGCAATTGACACACACACCACCGCCGCGGTACTTCCCACGAATATCCATGGACATTTTTCTGTCGGCCACTTCCTGGTCGTAAATGCAGGACGTTGAATGCCCATTGCAGTTGCATTTCTCACAGTGAAAGCCCTTGCCAGCTGTGCCGGGTTTCCACGGGATCTGATTGTACATGGGGCAACATTTTTCACATCTTTCGCCGCACGTGTGGCGCTGGCATTCACATTCCTGATGCTGAAAGATAACAACAAAATGCTCTTATCAGATTCCGTGCAAAATGCTATTAAATTTCGCGCATTTATTAAGTCACATAGCGAACGTAATATCGCGAATTTAACACACAAATAAAAACAGTTACACTTTGAGGGTTAGATGCGATATCAAGTTGGTCTTTGTGTTAGTTTTATTTATCACTGCCCGTATATATATCTCGTCCATTCATAGTTGCGAACAGCCGAGAAGTCATTAACATCCCGTAGTTTCTTATCATCGCGAGTATATATGTTTCGCATTTTACTATGTCTGTGAATTCCTGTTTCGATTCACCAAGTGGTCAATAAACAAGAAACTCATATCGCGTCGAAGCGTCGTAAAAATTCCGCGTGCGGAATACTACGCAAAGATCAATGTCCATTTCACGGAACAGCGTAACGTTTATGATAGAACATTGCAAATCACACAACCGATCCATTGTCGATATATTAAACGAAGATATTTATGAAATTTAACACCTTATCACATTTGTGTAAAGTCACACTCGTCCGACTTCGCATCGACACTCCCGAGACCGTTTTTACGAGATTTGACCAAAAAACAAAGGAAACGTATTTGCAAAACAATCCAACGTCGCAACAGTTGCGAAACGGCGCGAAAATAAATATAGCGTAAGCGAAGATAGCCGAAACATGGCGGAAACAGCCGAACGACGCGATAAAGGACAGAAATATGTATATACATAAATTCCAAGATTTTGAAAACAAACACGGTCGTCCTTGTTGAAGGAATTTGTATGTAAATCAACCAATATATCGAACGAACAAAAACGAACACAAAACATTTAACATAGACAATAAACGAATTTGTTTGTTACTTTGACTCTCTTAAAGAATTGAGATATACATCACATTTGTTTTCTAATTCTGCAAATCTATAAAAACAAATACAAAAAATGTTCGTACTTACCCCATGATGAACGCTGTATCGACATCGGGTCGCATGTCCAGAGCACACACAACGTCCTCCAATGGTAATCTCTTTAATTGAATAAAAGGCCGACCTCTTGTTGACGAAGATATCGCCGCCACGGTGAAGACCCTGAAGACGAAGTTGCACGTATCTCGCTTGTGTGAATTCCTGCAGATTCTCGCTGTGATTCAACGCTCCGCGTCGACCGTGTACAAAATACGTGTGAATCTACATAACAAATAATTAAAACAATTTTTTGTTACAAATTTTATTCGCCCGACATGTACTCGATTGTGTGGATAAATAATTAGATTTCGGAAAACACAAATTTGCGAAACAATTTTTCGATAATTACAATTTATTCTTCGCTGTGAATATCTTCTCACTATCGGACAACGATGTTCACACGTCGCGAGCACAAGCCAAACTGAACGTTCGTTCTTCGATTCTCGACTGTTCGAATAACACACAACATACGCTTTATCCTTTATCCTCTATTTCGAGCGCGCAAACACGCAAAAACGATACCAGATACGATACGTATTCACATTTCGACAACATTCGACGCTTTGAAATAGGAAAAGTTACGCAAAATATTCACGAAATATTACGATTGAGTAGAAACATTTTTATTACACTTTACGAAAGTTTTTGCAAATTTTCAATAAGAGAAATTGTTAGATTATGCCGCGTTATTTTATGATTTTTAACGCAAAATCATAAAAAAACACACATAAACAGTCGCGCAATGACTGAGTTCTGGCGGTAATTTTCTATAAATATATAATAATAAATATGTAGTAGTGATAAATAAAAGACGGAATATATAAATACACCTGATCTTTTCGAAGGTGAATCCTTTTGAAGTTCGTCCAGTACTCTGTAAGTATTTCAGGTTTGCTGCTTTATCAACACTGAGTAACTATCGCGAAAATTTTGGAATCAATTTCGATTAAAATAATTTTGTTTTATTTCCAAAATTATTATTTATTTATTATAACGCATCCAAAAACACGACAAAAAATCTCAATTGGAATCACTTTTGAAAAACACAATAACCACTCTCTGATTGATCAATTGCCGAAATAGAACAAAAAAATGACAAGTTAATATCTCAAGAAGAACACAAAAGTCAAAATAATGTCAGTTTGACGTCATATTGACCAGATTTACGTCAGTTTTTGATTTTAATAAAAATCTTGATCTCTCAAATGACTTAAAAAATGACTTTTGAGAAAAATTCGAGATTTTGAGAAAAATTCGAGATTTTGAGAGAAAAAGAATTTCAAAAAATGACGACATTATTTTGACTTTGCTGTTCTCCTTGGGATCTTCACCACATTAGAACACATAAATGTTTCTGCAGACGAACTGAGAATTTTCAATGATCTCAAGACGCTTTCGTGCTATTATTTCGTATAAAAGAAAGAAATAAAAAAAAAGAAAAAAAAAGTAAGAAAGAGGGCGAAGAAACGGGATCTACCGGAAGCGAGCACAGACCGGCAATTTTGTAAAATCCGCGCCCGGATAATCATCCAATCGCGTAATTGCACACACGAGCGATCTGCGTAAAACCGACGATTAACGACGCCCGAGTGGCGATCGTGAGGATTTTCGCAAGGATCATTGATAATGACACGCTTAGTGGCCACAAAAAAAAAAAGTATCGATCGTAAACACCGCTTCTTATTGCGTTATGTATCTGACGCGTAACGAACGCCGCTTTAATATTCGCGTAATTCCGTCGACGGAATTTTCTTAAAGAAGAATTTTTAGACAATATTTTAATCGTTTGATCTGAATAATAGAAAGATTTTGTTGCGAAGAAATCAAACAGTGCGGTAATTTTGTGTTGTTAATATTTACGACAAAAATAATAGTGACATTAAAGAGAGAATTAAATCTGACAATATGTGTATATATAAATCACACATGTTTGACATTTGAATATCAAATTATTGTATAAATAAGTGAAGGGAAAAGACTCATTTCCAGACTGATCGAATATTGTCAGCGTGTAGGTTCGCCTGACTGGTAGCCTGACATTTGTACGCGGGACATTATTAGAGATAGGTCGTTATATTATAGTTGGTAATTTTCTAAAGGACTCTCGTACACGCTCGCGGAAAACGCGAACCTTTTGCGCGGACGATTTTTATTCGCGTTTAATTAATCCTTGCTCGCGCATCGAGTTTACGACAAATATGTTATTTGCACACACCGGTAATATAATGAACATAATGGCACTCTCCAAGTAGTTGTGTTTTTTTTTTATTCTTTTAATTTTTTGTTACGTTAGTAACGCAATGTTGCGTTATTATCATTGTGCCATTATGTTACGTGTATGTGAGGCATATTAATGCGCGCGGAACGTGCGGCACTATTTTCGCGACGATAACTTTCTTACACGCGTCGTAATGTTACCTCATGCGTGACGATAATGTAGCATTTACATCGTTATCGGCGTTGCGTCGGAGAGTAATGCGTTTCTTTGTGGTAAAGAAATTTGTAAGTCACTACTTCCTTCATCGTTTCATTAACCGAGCCGTTGCGTTTATGTCGTAAAGATTTTCTTGGAAAGGTGCGCGCGCGCGCGTATGCAATCGCATACGTCCGTGAAAAATGTTATTACCTTTAATTAGCGTATGCAATCGTATTAAACGCCATATGTTATAGTCACCGCTATCAAAGAGAGAGAGAGAGAGAGAGAAAGGAGAAAAGGCTTCTGTCATAAACTATTTAAAAAATTTTTGCAATTAAATATTTTAAAAAATGGTTAAAAGGAATAAAATTAATTATTAAAAAAAAAAGTTAAATACAAAACGAGCTTATTAAGGGATAACAAATTGTCCGCATCGTTCGACGGTAAACTTCTGGTATCTCTTCATTATCCCAATCACTGTGCAAATCTCTGAAACATTCCGCGACCGGGGGAATAAACGATGATCATCACGTGACGAGGATTGCCTCCTCTCTCTCGGAAAGGGACATCATCTCTTTTTTCTTCCTCGCGCCGAGAGACATCCCTCTCTTTATACGAAACGACGGCGAGTGCCGTTTCGAATTCCCCGATCTTTTTCGTTCCTCCCGCCCGGTTTGCGCGCAGAAGCGTAAAACTAAACCAAGCTTTTCCCTCCTATGGAAGGTGTACGTAAAGCAATACTTCCTTATACGGCGAGATGTAGCGCCGTACATGGCCGGAATGTAGGGATCGCCGTTTTTGTATCATCGATTCCCTCTCCGTACCTCTGTCTCTCACTCTTTCTTTTATTTCCTCCCTTCCTCTTTTATCGTGAGATTCTGTTCGCACGAAACCGATTCTGCGTGTTCTCTCGTATGCTCGCGAATTACAAGCTTTAATTATCAGCCGAACTACCGAGAATTTTGAGTCGACCTGTTATCAGAGCGCCTCTTGTTCAACCCTTCCCGTACGTAATCTTTTTGATGAACAGTTATTGAGATTTGCGGTACGTGTGTGCGATGTATGTAACTGCAATTTTTGTTCCCAGAAATAGAAATTTCCGAATAAAGAACGCGGAAATGTGCGAGAGACGAAAAAACCGAGGTTCAAAAATCGCACGAGAGAAGTTTGCATCGGGCAAGTCGACAATTAACATCCGATCGTTCGATGTAACCAAAAAAAAACATGTGGCGATTCGTCGCTGAAGAACAAACAAACAATTAAAGTCGCGGTTTCGGCAATCAGCGAAAGATCGCGAGGTATCCTAAATAATACAAGCGATTGTCCCTTATTAGGCGCCGCGCGTGCTTTCCTTTTACAGGAACCCGTCGGGATTCCCTTCTTAGCCACACCGCGCCATTCGCAGATGATTTACTTCTTTGTCCACATCTTTGGAATTTAATAGCGCTCGCTTGCCGACGCTAATTAACCACCGGCACTGATTGCCCACCGGACACACACGGTCGTAATATCCGATTTCATTCTGCGTTATTGTTGCGATTGGGATATTAATAATTTTGGATACTTCCTTTTCGATGTTTTTTTGTGCTTAAATCTTCAATTAATTACGCACTGCAGACGCTACAAACGTGTGGCGAGCTTACTTTACATTTGATAAACGACACGGCGAGCGCCGCTTGCTTGATATATAAATAAATGTGTTATTTGTTTTATTTATTCGTTCTATAACTGAGAGATATTTATTTTTGTATAAACGTTTCGTGGTTTCTTTTACGAAATATTTTTGAAAATTTGATAAAAATTACAAGAACTTAGTAATTATCTGGAATGTGCAAAAAATCCAGATTCGATTCCTTCGGCCAAGATGTTTTTTTTTTGCAAGAAAAATGTTAAATGTCTCTCATAGAAGTGTAAATTGGATATTTCACATATATCAGATACAAGTCAAGCGTCTTGTATGAATTTTCAAATTAAATTTAGTTCAAATCTCCTTGTGTATTAATTTTCACACTTTTAAGGAAAAAAATATAATTGCGCGTACATCCGGCACCTTGGCTAGCATATCGACTCCAATACTTGGTTGAAAATTAAACAAAGAAAAGTGTCCTTACCACGCCGTTCTCCATAGGAGTTTGCCTCGAGTATTGGCTGGTGCATATAGCCTCGTCGTCTTCGATGTTGACGTGTTTTCCCGTGACAGGCAACAAGGAATATCTCGTCCAGCATTCCTCATCGCTCGGCGCGTAGTACTGCCACGGCTTGAAGTTCTTGCCGTCCAGAGACTTCTCCAGGATCCAGGCCGCGGGTCGCGGCGAATTCGCGGCCTTCACTAACACGTACTCCACCTGATAGATCTGAAACCGCAAGGTGTAACTTCAAGAGAGAGGAATTACATGCCCTCCCCCGTATTATCTCTACACGCCTACGATTATCTGCGCTATATTCCCCTCCCGTTTCTCGTGTGTGTTAAGATAAAACTCGCGAGGTTAATGGCGGGGATCCGGATTTGCAGGTCTCCCGCGGCTCGTCAGAGAATCCTGTCGGGATCGTGTGATGGATAATTAATTCCAAGCAACCGCAGATCTCGCGCAGCGCAACCTGATATCCCGTCTCGCTTTTCGTATATCGTAATGTAATCGATTCGTCGACAAGACAAAATAATGTAATCATAAAACTTACATAGAAATATAAATAAATATAATTAAATTTTTATAAATATATATATAATTAAATTTTTATAAAGATAAAAGTAGATTACTGCATTTTTTATTTCACTTTTTTTCCAAGAATACAATAAAAATATAGGAAAAACTGTTCTTTGATCATTTATCAAGAGGAAAAATACTCGGCGTGAAAAAACGCCGAGTTTCGCAAGCTATCGGCGGGAAACGGTACGGTCGCGCACACGCGGCCGCAGTCGCGATTTAACAAGACAGGAATTCTTCATCGTGCCGCATCTTTGTTACAGTCGTTGTTGTCGTTGTCCTCGTTGTGTCGTCGTTATGGCGGCTATTGTGAGTCCGAACCGACAACGCCCACTTTCGGACCATAAAGACAGATCGCATGACCGCGATACCGGCTTCGTTTCCTTCTAAGGGCTTCGTCCGGAACGGCCGATTCGAGCCCGTGTGCGGAGAGAGAAGCTGACTTCAATTATCCCGTCCCTTTTACCGCGTAGACAAAACGTACGTGCGCGCATTGTGCGTGACGTAAAAAAAAAAATATGAAGATTCGATCGAACTGCCCCTCGGGGAATCGGCGATAACGTATCGATGCGTGATCTGCAGTCTGCGGAATTAGTGCCCTTCTTGCTGTTGCGTGACAGGCGACATATCGAGTTGGATGCGCCCATTTCTCGATCGGCCGTTTCTTCGACTCGCGGCGTGTATACACACACACGCGCGCGTACACACACGATATAACAAGACGCGCGAAGCTGCAGGGGAAATATTTGCGCATCGCCACCGCTACGACAAGAGCAAAGGAAAAAGGGGAAAAGCAGTTGCACGAGGCTGCGGTCTCTCGCCCGACGTTTACCCGTCTTTTACCAGCCAAATATTTACGTTGGCCGCGCGCGCACATGCTTCCTCCGGGTTCCGATCGCTCTCTCCGTCGGCATCTCGCGTGCCTCCTCGGTCGTGTTACGGGGGGTAGGTCGCAAGTAAGTAAACCGCGCGTTTAATAGCTCAAGGTTGCCTCTCTTTCCTCTCTGCGACGCGAAAAACATTCGGATTTATTTATCGTCAGAGCGCACGACAGAATTATCGACGAAGAACGAAGCGTGCAATGTTTAAACGTGCGTGTCTTGACTTGGAAAGAAAAAAGGTCGTCGACTTATTATCAAAGGAGAATAAATGGGAACCAGAAGCTAGATCTGGAAATCTGAGAGATGTCACGTGGTTCGCATCTTGAAAAAAATTTATGTATTTGTTTCTTCTCTGTGTAACGAGACGAGAGATAAACAAATCGGTGAAAAGTCATAAACATTCCGGTGAGACCGGAAAAGTATCTGATAAATGTCAGATAACAGAACGACGATTTGATAAACCTGTTTTGAGCGACGAATATACGTCGCACGCACGCACACACACAATCCGGAATTTGTCAAATTCTATATTTTCCCAAAGGATCAGAATTCTTTGTATTTTCGTGAGACGACCGGATAAAATACAGAAATTCTTCGAAAAGTATTCTCTGCGTTTTTAATTTCTCGCTCCTTTAATCCAGTTATTTTGAATGGCATTTCTCGAATATCGATGTAACAAGCGGCGGAAGGATCGTAATATCGCGTGAGAGCAAGTCGATGTTTCTCGTAGATTGTGTTAAAAGTGTTTCAGGGCGGACCACTTAGTTTCACGCCGCGTTCAGAGTAAACACGTGTAAATACTAAGCGGGATTGGATAACCTTGCGCGAGAAGGCACGTCAAGGGTCGTACTTGACGCGTTCTGTCGTGGCCTTCCGACACATACACGTCAGTGGCGTCTACATTGCGACGTATAAAATTTTACGATAAATGAGATAAAAATTCGAGTGTTACGCACACATGTGTGTTTATAACAAATGACAATAAATTAAGCGCAATATCCGAACTAATCGAATTTAAATTGTGCAAAAATCGTGAATTTAAATTGTTTAAATTTCTCGAATCACCGTGTTCCCACGTTCTTTCACCTCGCAAAACCGTCATGAAACCGCTCGCAGCGTCTAAGCTCGCCATTTCAGGCGCGATCCCCCGTCGCTTCTTCCGCGGAAATGAAAAGTAGTCGGCACGGGAGTCGCGTTCGTATCCGGCGCGATCCGAGAAACACGGTTATATGTTTTGCCGCGATCTCCGCGAAAGAACAACCGGAGAATTCCTGAAACACGCCGACCACGTGACACACAGTGCATAAGAGAGAGAGAGAGAGAGAGATATACGGCAAGCGGCTCCCACGATCCGACCCCCTGCTTCCGAGGCTTTAAAACACATCCACGAAGGAGGCATCCTTGTAAGGATGCGACTAGCATCGGGATCGAATGACAGAAATGGCATTATAGCCGGCGCGTAGATGAAGAAAGTCGATAACGTCTTAAAAGATATCGATGTCCTTTTATTTATTTATTTATTTTTTGGTCGACGCGACTTGCGAACCGATCAAAAGCGATCGAACTGAGTATCGGATTTTATTTCACGGTGAAAAAAACAAACGTAGGTAGATCACTTTCGAGAAAATCCGATTTAATTCTTTTCGTCCGAGTAAATGTTAACATGAGCGCGTAACAAAAACAAAAATGTGTTTGTCGATCTTCGCGATATATCTCACAAAAATATCTCACGCTTTCTCAAAGTTAATTTCTTGAAAATTGCACCCCCAAAAAATTGTATTCTCGTATTTAGAAAATTTTGTACTTAAAAAAAATTATCTTGAAGATTTTAGACGATATTTTCTAAAAATTAAGAATATATTCTTTATTTAAGATTATAGTCTTCATTTCCGATATGTATGTTAGATATGTTTTTTTGCTTATAGATCGTTTGTGCGAGTTGTTACGTTGAAATTACACAAGAATATAACTGAAACTACAGTGTAATTCTACAAAATATCGTTACTCTTTAGAGGATTTCCCTCTTAAAGTAAGAAAATCTTCTTTAGAAGATTTAAGTGTCTATTTTAGTACAGGGTGTACTCAAAGTAAGTGGAATATCCTCAAAACGAAAATACAATTTTTTCGGTGTAACCGTGACAAATTGCGAAGCTTATCGCACTGTTAAATTCACGTCGATTATTTTCCTGTAGAAAGCGTTTTACCACAACTATTCGTCTGCCAACGTCTACACTTCATTCAAAGAGCGCCCTAATCTCGTAGTCGATCTTCGAAAACAGTCTCTAAAATCTTTTCCCTCTCGTTTCTTGCACTTTGTGCTTTGCGGCTACGATTTGTTACCTTCATTCAATGTCGACAAGAATGAAAACAGAGGAAGACGGACACAGTGAGAGAGAAGTCTCACGAAATCGAATCGCACGAAATGAGACAGAAAAAGACATCGATAGGAGACAAGAAAGAGTGAATAAAGGACGAGACCGGGGTTCTTCTTTCCCTGGAGTAGATGCCTTTCCGGAAATTTACGTGGCAGGTACGCTTGTGTGTCGAGATGTGGCCCTTCGTCCTATAACAAATTGCGAACGGCGGTAGAGAAAAACGTTTTAACGAGCACGCTCGCCCTTTTTTTTTTCTCGAGAACCTTCGGTAATGAGAACGTGTAGCTCGACAGTACTGCGAAACGGATCCGCAGAATGAAGTGCCGACACGAGAGGCAAGGGAGAGCTAAAACTTTGACGAGAGGGCATTTTATTTTCGAGTGCAGAAACGTTCTTGAAGTGCTTTTATTGTTTTCTACTTTTGATGATTTACAATTGCTTTATATAGAGCCAGACATTCGCGAATTTTGAGAAAAAAAAAATAAACAACAATATTTAGTAAATATACATAATTGTAAAACGCGATATTAAAGTAGTCTCGAGACAGTAGATTCGGATTTAAGGTCCGAGGTGTCTCTTCTCTTTTTTTCTCTCTTCTTTCTCCACAAGAGATAATAATCCTCCGGCGCGCGTTTGTACTCTTCGCAAAGAGAAGATTGCCCACAATTCATTGACATTTTTAAATTACGGGCCGTGGATATCGAGAATGATTATGCTAATAAGCGAATAAGCAGGACGCGAGAGAGAGGGTATATTTATGATTCTCGTTAACGTTCATTGCGCTTATTAATTTTATGATCAGGCGCTGCTCGTAATTGTTTATTTAATCCTGCGAACCGGTGTGTTAAATCGATGGGACGCGTCGATGTTGTTGTCGCTGTTGTTGTTGTTTCCGTTTGCGATTGCGAACCGCGACCACCTAAGAAGTCGATAGAGGGAAGCCAATGGCTTCTTCAATATCCGCAAAAACTCGACTGCGTATAAATTACGGGGAGAGAAAAAATATATTAAATATTAAAAAATAAAAAAATAAAAAAAAACTATAAAAAATTCTTCTTGCCGAAAGAATCTGTTCCCACGCGTTCGGGTGCCGTTAGTTTTTATTCGCGTGTATGTCTTCTGTTTGCGCTACTGATTGGCGTGACTGAGTACCGAGATTAGTTCCGCCTCCTACGTGAAAGCGTCTCTTTCTCTCTCTCTTTCCCTCTTTCTCCGGTACAACAAACAAATTAATTTGACTGCGTTCGCTTGAGAAAAAAAAGAACTGACTGATGGGCGGCCCTTATTTTGCGGTACACGGCAAGGGAGTCACGTTGCGCAATAATTAGCAGACGGCTGCGAATGGTTTATCAAACATTGCGTAGAGAGCGATTTGCCGAGCGTAATTCTCTCG